ATTAACCTTCACTGATTGCAATAACTTTATTTATTATTAATTTAATAAAGAAATACAGGCTTGCCACCTAACAGAAAAAAAGGTCTGCATATCTTCCTACAGCCAACATTTTCCCCCACAGTTTAAATGGACAGAAATAACAAATTTGGGCAGAAAGTTCGCTTATACTTATACTAGTATAACAGTGGCCAGATGACTTGATCCAATCATATATTGTTTTGTCCTCATAACTTGTTTAATCAGTAAGATTTCTTTTAGGAAGGTACTGAAATATTTGTAAAGAATGGGTACTATAAGTTTCAAATGATTGTACTTGCACACACATTGTTGTTAGGATAAATAATGCTCAGATTATCTCTGGACTTCCTATAAAATAAACTAATCTTGAGTCTTCTTTTCCAGATGTTCAGTCATTCTTTCCTGATTGCTTTCCATTTAGAGCATGTCTTGGACCTAGACTACATGATAGTTCAATACATAAATAATTCCTGCTCAGGACACTGAAGTAATGCAGCGTAAGAGACATTTTATCATCCTTCTCTAGTGAAATTATTTAGTTAAACCTCTGACAAAGTCTCTCTTTGCTCATAATTTCTACATGTCAGCATGAGTGGTCAAATAAGAAAACAAACCCAAGATTTTCTCTTGTTCTTTTGTCACTAATAGTCAAATACTAAGAATAAACATTTCTTTTTCTTGCTAACATTTAAAGTATGTCCACTTCCTGCACATCTGTCTAGAATTTAGGGCAGAAGATATGTTTGTTGTTCAAAGTTGTACTTCTGTTAGCAGAACAAACTCTGCTGCAGATATAACTTCCAGTAAAATAAACTCAAGTCCAGATTACAGGGTTGGTTTTTACCAGCTGATATGTGAATCTTCCTGCCTTTTCTGTAATTATTTTTTCCTAGTTCATTCTTTTCTGAGGCCTGTAATAGACAGTGCCTTGGCTTTTCTTTCCCCCCCTGCAGATATCAGAGTGGGACAGGTAGCTCTTTCAAATTCTGCAGACTACCAGTGTCTCAGAGTGGGAAAAAAATGACTTATTAAATGAATAAAATGAGAAGTCATCCAAAATTCAGAGGCATAAGTCTTCAAACTACTTCCAAAAGAGCCAGGGCAACCACAAGGTGCTATGCAAAATTTTACAAAAAAATAGTTAAGAATATTGTAGCAACACAGTCCCTGGAGTGACAAACCTTGTTGAGAGAAACTTAATGAATTGGAAAAGATAATTGACAACTTCAAAAGACAAAGAACTGCATATGCCATTTTTGAGAAACTTTTACTTTCAACATTTACAATGCATGCTTATAACTAAGACAATTTTCATGTGCCAAGGAATAATTTCCATACATGTAATAAATACTAGATTAAAATCTCACTGTGTAATAAATTTAATATTTAGGTGCACAAAATACCAGATTTGCTTTTTTTCCTGGCTGACATCTTCAGCTTAATTCTTTCCTTCTGTTTTTATACATGTGCAGAACTTTTTGCTATTCTTACTGCACTTATCACCAGTTGTAAACACAGGGGAAGATACACTGTTTCTTTATAAATAAAGGGATTGGGAAAGGCACAGACAAATTTATTATCTGCACCATGGCTGCAATGTCAAACAGTTGCTATATTTCAAGTGCTGACAGACAGCCTGACCAAAGATACCTTATTTACAAGACATGGCCCCTAAATGCAGACACAGGCTTAACGTGTAATTATATTTTAATGTATAGGGTGTTCATAATAGGTTACTCTTTACAGTTCTTTACCAGAATCTTGGTAAAGATTCTAATCTGAGCGTACTTTGAATCTCTGAGATGTTAAGAAAAACCCCACTCAAAATGTTAACGTTAAACCCCAAGTCTTTTCTCTAGGAAGAAAATCTGAACTATAAAGGAAAAAGAGGTAAGAAGTGCTTGTTTGGCATTTCTCAAGATTTGGCCATATCATGCAACCAAATACAGCAATATTTCCAATGGTAATATAATGCTGGATAAAGGATATTTATGGTGTAGTGAAAATACAACAGCAAGCAAAACGCCTGGATAAAGTGTTTTGCGTAGTTGATAGATATGCGCAAAAAAACCCCCAGGCATCAGTATGACCTTGCATGAAATCGGAGAAACCACGACTACTCATTTTTATACTAACAACAGAGAAAGGGCAACTAAAGAGACCAACACTTCTTACAGTTCTAGCCTTGCCTGCATAAAATAGATGGGGGTTCTGTTAGCAATTAGAATCTACTAAAAAAATCCCCACAACAAAAATTAACTTATCAAACTTTGAAGCACTACTAGAAAGACACAGTAGAGTACAGAATAAATGCGCTCTGATTGTTACAGCTACTCCTTCCGCACTGTAAAAATATTTTTAAAGCAGAACAAGCATTGGGCATTTGTCTTAATAAACCTATTTCCAAAGCTGGAAGCAGACAAATGCAATTCTGCAAGCAGACACTTAACAACCATATAATAAAACAAAACTATTTAAGGTGTATTACAATATACTGAGATCTATTAAATGCCACATCTGATCAGATATGTAGACAATATTCTTGCAGACAATATTTCATCTGTATTTTGTATCTTAAAAAGCAAATAAAACTACACCAAAAACACCAACCAAAGAACAAGAATTTAACAAGACATGAAATACAACATTTGACCAGGTCTCAAGCTATTTTAAGGTCTTCATCTAAACACAATCTGATTTAAAACTTAAAATCCTAAATTTATTAGGTGGAATAGTACCAGCATAATTGTTTTCCATTCTTTTTATGTAGAACATCAAAATTTTTCAAAAGCACCAGAAAAAATATAACACAGTAAGTAGCATGCAAAACAAGAAATGTAGTATCACTCAGCACTGTAAGTTTCTCTCTCCTTCTGGGTGCCTTTCTGAGCCCAATAAAAAAACCTCAAAAATTTCTTTTCTGTGATTTGCATGAACACTGAATCCTAAAAATATGCTTTATGTTTGATATAGGGAATACTTACAAGAAAGCTGTAAGTTACCTAGTACCACAAATTGTCAGGAAGGGGGGTGAGGGAAAGTTTCATTTGACTGCATTCCTTATTTATGGAAAACAATTACTTGTAGTATACCAAGATATGTGTAAAATTATACATCAGTGTACATCAAACATGGAAAAACTTCAAGACTAAAAGGCCTACCCCTCGGCTAGGGGACAAAAAACACTGATCACATTTTTTACTTTATTCATTGTCATACAACTTAAATATTAAAGTTGCAAACACATCAGCTGACTCTTTTTGTTAGTGGAGGCACTTGATCATTATTTGAATTTTTTGTTAGTACATTCTTGTTAGTATGTTCAAATTGCAGCAGAAAATCCTAAATTTTATAACACTCAAAAATATGTAAAACCTCAATTTTTAATAAAGAATTAACAACATTGCACACATAAAGGTAAAGCTAAATACTTGGGGTTTTGATTCTATAATTACTGCATGGACTCTATGGTTAGATCACTCAGAGGCCTCTGCATGGAGTGACTGATGCCAGAAATACTTCTGGGAAATATCTGTTTTTTCTTGCCCCCACCATGCAAATATTTCCTGCTCCTCACCACATTTTTCTCCATGTCTAGTTTATGTTCTTAAAAAAAAAAAAAAAGAAAAAAAAAAGAAAAAGAAAAAAATTACTTCTAGCATCAACCATTTTCACAAATTTCTCCCACCAGAAAAAAGTTTTCTTCTGTTTGTTTAATCACTTCTGCACAGCAAGGGAATAAAAGGACTGGTAAATTCCCTTTTGCAAAGACTTTTGATTTTAGAAAACAGCTATTGAAAGAGGAATATACAAAATCTCCACACAGCTCTTAGATGATCATGTGTGCTTAATATCGTAATAGGATAAAGGTTAAGAATAATATTGTTTGACCCCTTCAACTACTGACATTCATGCCATGTTATTGTTAGTGTTGCATGTTAAGCAAGCAAATTTTCAATGAACTTGTGTTGGCTTTACCACAGACACAGATGTTAGGCGGACTCCTTTTTTCATAAGGTTCTCATTATTAACTGAAACCAAGTTGAATATTTGACTGAAGGAAAGGACCATATCATTGTTTTCAGATTTTGCTCTATGACTTAACTGAACTACATCTGCCAGCTTTGGAAATACCAAGTACTTCTTGGCGCCAGCACTGGCGCCTTGCTCTATGACTACCATCTTAAGTGCTTCAGCTTGAGGAAGTCTAGTAACCATCAAAACAGTTTAATAAAATCTTAAAACTGTGATTATAAGTTACTCACTAGCTGACACAGTGCTATCAAATTTGTTCCATTTATGAATAATTTTGCAAAATAAGCAAATCGTAGTAAACTGAATGCATGGCTGTAAATATGTAGCCTAGAAAGTTCACAAGATGTTTTTTTGATTTATGAAGTCTGTGTTATACTTGAAACCATATTTATTTAATAGATAGGCTGGCACTTCACAGGATAATTCAATCTGCTTCAAATCTATCCAAAGCCTTTGGGAAACATAAGGGATACTCTGAATATAAATGCAATTCCACTTTTCACCTTTTTGCACTACTGTCTCTTAGCATAAATGTGAAAAGTATTACACTCTCCTAGAACATCTTGTGTTGTAAAAAATGCTGTTGAAGATGAAAGAACTGAAAGAACACCACAGTTTGTGCTAACCCAAATATAGGAACTATTTTATAAAACAAATAAATTAAACACTATAAATCACTTTTCTGGATATGTCCCAAGGTTATCTGAATTAAAATAAAGAACATATCATTCTTCCTCAAAAAGACCAAAAATCAAAGTGTCTATACTATGTACCACTTATACAGTTGATGCTGAAAGGGGACTATAAATGTCAGAACAAGCTATTTTCAGAAAAAATAATGTAAAAAAGGCCTCATATTAATTTATTTTATATATAAAAATATATAAATATTTAGCATTTTCAGATAATTATGTGATCTGAGAATAATCATTAGTTATTTCACTTACCACGCTGAATGTCTTTCATGTCTAAATGAAGGCTAGACATTAATATTCCAACAGCTTGAGATCTTTTGTTACTTAACAACTTGACAACCTGCCAAAAGAAATAAAAGTATTATTATATTATGCAGGATGATATACAAGGTATTTTGCATTACTAGTAACATAGTCAAGAAATAGTTCTTTGTAGTCTATATACATATCCAAATGTGAGCAAATTTATTATTCTAAAAGTTTGCTTCTGCTGTATAAATCCATTACAAGTGTATGTAACTTTATCACCTACTTGAATTTAATCCTAAAAGGTACCCTTCCTCTTCCTTCTTTATTAGAATGCACACTCTACTTCACACTGATGTTACTAAGTGTATGAAACACACTGTCAAATAAAAATCCAACTGTGTCTATCTTGGAATTGCTTTGGTTTCCAAAACCACACAATGATTTCCATCTTTGATGTAAGTTAAAACTGTGAGAATTTGTATTTTATTTGAATGTTTGACGTAGTAGGCGCCAATATGAATTTTATTTTAAAATCAAAATAACCACGTACACATTGGGGTTTTCTTTGATCACTTCAAGGATTATAAAAGGTCACAAAACTTTTTTCTTTTCAAAATAGAAAAAAAAACCCAAAATAAATTCAAGCCATCAAAATGTCTTGCTTTAGGGGGTTAAAATCAATGATTAAAATAGACTTTCATACATGTTGGTTTTGCAAGCATAAGAGCAGCAGACTATCTTAAATAGGGCTCTAAGTTGTTTGAATTCAACTTGATGTAAATTTTATATTATTGTTAGAAGAAACAAGTAATTCCAGAAAAGGACTCCTATCTGTAAAACTACATTATTCTAGATGAAATCCTTTTCAATACCAGGATACGACCATTGGATAGAAGAGGTTAATATTTACTCTACATAGGTTGCTGAGTTTTACACTGTACTAAACACACTGATGAAAACATTTATGAGTCACTTGGAGGAAAGAAAACACAGATAATTAAAACTATTCATGTCAGGAAGCATATACATATTTTTTCAAGTTACACCATTTTCATTGTAGCACCAAGAGGCTGTATCATCTACAGTCACACTGGAAAAACTATTTAAAAATTAACTAACAGGAAAGACATTAGAAAAAGTAGAATTAGGTTAGCCAGAGTAAAGAATTTAATGATCCAAGTCACATCTTAAAAATTAAAAAAAGTACCCAGAAAATGTTTGCCTTGTGATTCACTGATTCATTGCCAACTTTGATTCACTTACATTTTCAGATACAGTTCTGTAAACTGATGTTTGAACAGTGGAAGAGAAGAAAAAAACCTGACTCTGAACTCTGCCACTGGAACTACTTAGGAAAGGAAACTCAAGAAATTCACTGTACTTACAGTATAGGTTTTCTGAGAATGTGCTTGGCTGGCCAACAGTTTAATTTTATTTTTTCCCTTCTTAAATCTTCATAACCATTGATTATGAAGATATTTCATCTCCTTTTTCTCACGGATGCCAAATTAGCAGCAGTGGGGTGAAAATACAGCTGTAGAAGCCCTGAAGAGATTAACTATGTCTATGTCTCAAACACGAGCAGCCAGATCGCTGTGCTGCCAACCAAGGATCCTTGGTAATAACATGCTGTGAGAAGTAACAGGATGTGGCTGGAGAAGGTGGTCTTACCAGGGTAGGGCAGCAATTTTTCTGGGACAGAAATCCTTGTTCTGGCTCCTGGAGATAAGTACAGCATGGTGCAGGGCACATGCAGGAATGAGATCGAGAAAAAGGATTGCTGACCAAAAGCCAGCCCAGTAAAGGGAGATCAAGACACCAGATACTTCCCAAAGCCCTCCAACCCATTTCCAGAGGTCTAGAGGAATGAACCGTGCATGATAACTGATTTGCATGGAAAGCAAGAAACTTATCTCCAGGGCAGGGATAACCTATCTATAAATAAGTACTCCCATGAAGCTCAGGTATAAATGCTCCAGGACTCTGGACATCCCATTATCTGGATTGACACTGGAGCAAGGACTGGTGATCTTTCTCCCTCCCTCTCTCCAATTTCTCTCACTCACTCTACCTTCTTTATTCAAAACCCACCACTGTGTGCTTATACTGGAAAATAAAGGAATAACATACGAATTTTCATGACAAGTGTATAATTTGCTAATAAAACTTTCTACACTTTTACAGACTTTCTGACTTCTGTCATTCTTTTTTGACCATGAGCATCTGCACACCTGTGTGTTCCCTTCTCTTTTGGGATGGGATGCCTCAACAGCAAAAATACTGCTAATTAATCAAAAATTTTAACATTGGAAAACAAGTATGTCATAACTGATGTTCATAAGGTTAAAGACCTAAATTCAAAGCATGGCTACTCACATCACCTGTCAAAAATTAGCAAGAAATTCCTATGTAATTTTTTAATCCATTTATATACTATTTATATACTATTAAATATATACATTTATATACTATTAATATCCATTTAATCAATTTATATACTATTTGGAATTTTAAACTAAGAAAGGATAGTCAGATTCTTTGGAATTAAAATGTAAAACTAATGTAATTTAAAAAAAATGCAATTAGGATAACCTGCACTACAGCCTAATAGGCTATAATCACTCAAAATATTTTTTTTAAATGGAAAAAAAATTTCATTCATGCCTGGAACTGAGATAAAGCTAGGTCAAGATAAGATTTTCTTCTTGTAAAGAGAAGCTGTTATCAATTTATTTCTTTGCAGCTACAAAAGGATTACAAAATAAAGTAGATCTTGGATAGCAATGTATAGATCAAATCCTTCTCTCAATTAAGTTGCAGTCTGTAATAGCAACCAAAAAGCTATCTCCCATTTTATAAAAAAAAAATTGTTTACAAAATTTCAAAAAACCCAGAATTTCTTCAATTCGTGTTGCTACCAAACCATACCTGCAGGAAAGGCAGAGCAACAACAGAAACAATACTGTATGTTACATTAAAAAGTTGAAAAAATTTATTCTTAAGTTATGTATTCCAACAACATTGAAAAGACCGAATTTGGTAAAGAAGGTGTTGGGGAACCGTTGATTTCAGCTCCTATCGTTATTGCTCAAGTCCAAAACATCGTGTATTAATAGCATAACTAACTTTCTGGTGTCAGAATACAGTGGGAGTCCTTTGTTGCCTGTATTTTGAACTAGAAAACTATCCCAAAGCTTACAAGTAAAGTGAATTAATAATCAAATGCAAACTCATCGCAAAAGTGCTGTCAGAAAACAATAGTGACACAAAGATGCAAGAGCTCATCAGAGGTAAGCTGTCCCTCAGATTCTGCAAAAATGGAGTAGAAATTGAACTGATGTAGAATACTATGTTATTGAGGACTAAAACAAAGCAAAAGAAGAAAATCAAGAATAAAATAGCTTTGTGGTCTTCTACAAAAAAAAAAAAAAATTAATTACAACTGCATTCAGATGTGAACCTACCTAGAACCAACTTGGCCTTTCCAAAGAAGGGAAAACTACACTGTTCCCTCTTAGAGGCCCCAAATCCATGGATGAGTTGGAGTCTGATCTTGGGAATTTCCCACATCTAATTCTGCACCCATGTACTATTAGATTTTCTTCAAACTGTGAAATCACAGTTTCTATTTCCCATCAGAATTCTAAAGCTCAGAGAGCTACTAAGATTAGGATTACAAATACAGCAAGGGGATCAGCACTAGACAAAAAAGAAACAAATAAATTAATGTTGTTGTCATGCAGGCTAAAACATGATCCCTGTCTAGGGAGCAGGACCAGACTTAGTGACCTAGTAGATCCTTTCAAGTCCTGGATAAAAGTTAGCAGGAAAAAGAAGCTTCTTTTTCTGAAAGTGAGCTGGTAGACAGGAAAATAATTAGTTGCTGAGTGCCATGTTTTGACAGTGATTAAAAGCAAAACAAAGCAAAAAAATAAACATGTCCACATGAAGAGTAAGTTATCTTTGCTGCCAAAATTCTGAACCATGATGATATCAAAAGGGTGACAAAGAGCATGACCATCAGCTGAATGGGTGCAGAACAGCAACAGATAAAACAGTTTCACATAGCAGCTACCAACTTTCCCTGGTTTTATTTAAAATGTAGAGTTTATGTCAACTTTTATACTAATCTCTCTTGTGCTGTTCTTTCCCATTTCAGTCAGTTGCATGAATACTAGAGTTTCCTCCAATAGAATGGATGTAACAATACAACACTAATTCAGAAAATATGAATATTAGCATAAATGCCTAAAGCAATTCCCACATTTAAAAGTAAAACAATAAAATAAATCAGATGCGTAGTCTGGGCCTACAGGCTACAGACAAGTGACGCCATTTAAAGGCAGAACAACAAAAGTTCGATAAATCCAATCTCTGCAAGATCTAAAGCCTCAGACACAATACCCAGCTCCTTTTTAGTCTGGGCTCTGGAACTCTGTTTTAAACAAGTTAAAAAGAAAAAAAAAAAAAAAGAAAAAGGAAAAGGAAGCTAGAGATATTATCTGCAGCCTGAAGTCTAGGACAAACTTTCTAATTCTTGAGTGGTCCTCACTGTTGAGCATTAACAAACTATATGCCAAATTTGTTCCTGATTGTTTAACACAAACAAAAACAGTCAAAGAGATATTTAGTGAAAGGTAATGCAGAACACACGTTTGATGAGAACCCCAGAGCAAAAAATATGAAGATTACTTTTCCCTAGAACAGTATTTACTTAATGTATGGAATTTTCAATGATTCTCACTATCTATTTCTGATTTTGAGCATTTAGAAAAAATATCCCAAAGTTCTCACTGGTTAAGAAAAACTGCTGTACCTAACACAGTCACATGCAGGAGACCCCACTTTACAAAGACCCATTGCTCATACATGCGGCAGGAAAGAGGCAGAAACAACAAAATTCCAAATCAAACATTAAGAGACAGGATCAGGGCAGTAATAGAGTTACCTTCTTACCAGGCATTGTGACAAGTCTGTTCTGCAGATTCAAGCATTCCAAGTGTAAAATGGTCAATCACAGAAGAGGACCCATTATATCTTTCCCCTGTATATCCTTCTTATAGGTATAACAGAATAATATATGCTTACAGG